AGAGAGGGCACGTGCACAGGAGCGCCCACACTTGCAGATGATACCCACGTGACCTGGACCGGATGACTGGATGATTGGAGCTCAACCAGGAGAAGAAAGAAGAGGGGAAAGAAAAAAAAAAAGTGAGCTGATACAATCTGATGAACTTGACCTATACATATGGAGCAGCATCTCAAAAGAAGGAACAAATCCTTACAGCAGGAATCATTCCCACCCCCTCCACACACAGTATGGACAGATTTGGGCAACTTGGACATTGGATACTCAAATGGGGAGGGGGGTACTACAAAGGCAAGAAGTGACTGGCTTACAAGCTTTCAAGGGGGAACCTAGTGCTAGGGAGCATGGAGGAAGGCAGAATCACCAGTGGGTACTATTCAATCTGTGTGGGCGGAGCTGATGAAAGGAAATACAGATGGGTAACTAGTGATACTGTAGTGAATAATGCTTATCAGGATGGATTATGAGGGTTGGAAATGCAAAGGTAGACGTTTTGGAACAAGGAAGGGAGTGATTAATTCTACAGGCTAGGAGCAGAGGTCTCTAGGACCATCAACAGAGAAAAGCCAAGAGTGGGACCCTATCCAGAGAAACAGAGATGCCTGAGATGGAGACAGAGACAATGACGTGGAGTAATGAAGCGGCTGGGGACTTTGGATCCAGAAAGGGAAAGGGACTGTGGGCCAGAAACTGGGGGGAGGAGAGGGAAGTGTAGGGGGCGGGTTTCTGGGATATACCCTTCGGTTGGTTGATGATGCATAGAGGGGTTTGGAACCATGGCAATGAGATGATATACGAATGAATGAATGTAAAACTAAAGTTCTCTCATGTAAACTACCATATAATTCACAATAAAACATTAAAAAAAAAAGAACATGGTTGCTGTTTGGTACCATCGAACAGGTTCTGACTGTGAGTGACCCTAGGCACAAGAAAATGAAACACTGCCTTTTCCTGCACCATCCTCACAACTGCTGTTAGGTTTCAGCCCATTGTTGCTAACACTATGACAAACTTATTGGGAGTCTTCCACCTATTTGTTGATCCTCCACTTTACAAACATATTGTCTTTCTCCAGGGACTGATGTCTCCTGACATGTTCAGAGAACAAGAGACAAAGTCTCGCCATCCTCACTTCTAAGGAGAATTCTGTCTATACTTCTTTTAAGACAGATTTGTTTGTCCTTTTTGAAGTCCATGGTATCTTCAATATTCTTCTCCAGCACCATAATTCAAACGCATCAATTCTTCCTCATTCATAGAACAATTTTCACGTGCATATGAGGTCATTGAAAATACCATGGCTTGGGTCAGGTGTATATTAGTCCTCAACTGACATCTTTGCTTTTTAACACTTTAACAAGGTCTTTGCAGCAAATTTGCCTGATGTAACAGATCATTTGAATCCTTGACTGCTGCTTCCATGAGCTGCTTCCATGCTGATTGTGGATCCAACCAAAATTAAGTCTTTGACAACTTCAATCTTTCTTCCTTTTATTATGACGTTATTTATTAGCCCAGTTATGAGGATTTTTGTTTTCTTTACATTGACTTGCAATCCATACTGAGGCTGTAGTCTTTGATCTTAATTGTAAACAATTGAATATTATCCTATCACAGATAGCACTGCACTTCAAGCTAGATCTTGAAATGCTCTTTTGGTCATGAATGCAACATCATTTCCCCTCCATTTGCTGTTCCCAATAGAGTAAACCACATGATTGTTTGATTCAAAATGTTCAATACGAGTTAATTTCAGGTGACCAGTGCCTAGGATATCAATCTTTATGCATTCCATTTCATTTTTACAATTTCATACTTTCCTAGATTCATACCTCATACATTCCACATTCTATTATTGGATGTTTTCAGCTGATTTTTCCTACTTTTAGTTGTGCCCCATTAGTAAATGAAGTTCCTAAAAGCTTTGTTCCATTCATGTCATTAATGTCAACTCTACTTTGAGGAGGCACCTCTTCCCCAGTTATATTATGAGTGCCTTTCAACCCAAGGAACTTACCTTCTGGCCCTTTATCAAACAATGCTGTTGTTGTCAAGGGCCAGCAAGTTGGTTCCATCTCATAGGGACCCTGTACGGGGTTTTTGAGGAGTAGTTGGTCGATCTGAACTGTCAACTTTGTGGTTCACAGTCCAGTGCTGACCCTACAGCACCATACCAGGAGTCCATGTCAGACAATAGTTTGCTGCTGTTCATAAGGTTTTCAGTGACTAGCCATTCAGAAGTGGTCTGCCTCTCCTTCTTTGCAGTCTGTCTTAGTCTGGACACTCTGGGGAAACCAGTCCACCATGTATGACCCTTGCTGGTGTTTAAAATACTAGTGGCATAACTTCCAGCTTCACAGCAACATATGAGCCACCACAGTATGGTAAACTAACAGACAAGTGGTGGATAAAACAACAAACAGCCTTAAAAAATAATGTGGCATCTCTATATATTGCCACAAAAGAGCCCTTAAAAGTGTAGGGATAGAGATGGTCTCTCTATCTTTCCCTCCATTTTTAACTCCCCTGCACTAGAGTAGAGGACACCCTGGTGGTACAGCACTTCATGGGAGAAAGGTGTGCAATCTGCTTCCATAAAGATTCCAATTCCATTCCAACTCACTGAAGCACGATAGCACAGAGAAGCACTGTCCCATTACGTTTCTGAGGTTCTACTCTTCATGGAAGAAGAATGCTACATCTTTCTCCCATGAAGCTGACATCTGGGTGTTTAACTATTGCACCAGCAGGGCTGCTCTATAAAGACTGTAGTCTTGGAAACTCTATGGTGCAGTTCTACCCTATCTCATAGGATCATCATGAATCAGAATTGACTTGATGGTGATGGGTCTGGTTTTTTGGTGATGAATTAGAATTGACTTGATGGTAACAGGTTTGGTTTTGGGTTATGCACTAGGTTATGAAGCAGTAACTTGGAAAGTGCGTTCAATCTCCAAACTCAAATTTGCCCTTCAGTGAGCTATTCCAAGGTCTAAACTGAGATAAGTTAGAAGGCATACGTCACTTTATCAGTAATAACAGTGATATGCTGATTTCCCATCTACCTGACTTCTCAATTGAATCAGAACTTGAGTGGGAAAAGCAGAGTGTTATTTATTGAATTCCTTCAAATACCCGTAAGTTCCTAGACAGCTTTTGTTTTGTTTTTTAATTAATTAATTTATTTTTAATGCTGTCAAGTCAATTCCGACCCATAGCAACCCTGTAAAGGGTTTCCAAGGAGCAGCTGGTGAGCTTGAACCACTGACTAGACAGCAATTTAAAGGGTTTGAAAGGATCATAAATCTGGACACTCTGCCCTGACTCCTTCCTCCCAACACATTACAGTATGCTTCCCAGCTGCACTATCTTATTTTGGACGTTTTGTCCTATCCAAAACACAACCTGAAGTCCAGGATTTTATCTGATTCTTTCGCCAAGTCTCTTAGATCTTCCTTCGTTGTGCATTCTCTTCAATAAATACAGAAAAATATATTTTATCCCTCATCCCAATTTTGATATACCTCTTGACTTGGCAAATCTAATACGAGTTTTTTATGTCGACCAAGAGACAAGATCCTGAAATTCTTACTGTCCTCATTCTATCTTCCTGGGTCTGCCTTCTCATTCATAAAGGCAACAGAACTCAGAGCCCTAGTTAACACTTAATACACCTTTCCAAATTCCTCCGATTTTTCTCTCTTACCTTCTCCTGGATGCCTTCATCATCACCAGCAAAGTACAAAATAGGGACATTGAGCTCAGAGGCTGCTACCCATTGAAGGACGGCTTGAAGTTGCTTGTTCTGAACAGTATCAGTTAGGTTCTGATTGCTGACAATCACTTTTGGGGATACACACCCTTCAGGGGACTGTCCAGAAACACCTCTCAGTTCTTTCTGGATAGCTTGATAGGCATTCTGCAGGAGAGTCTCTGTAGTCCCGGTGCTCTTGACTGGTAAACACTCATATAAACTGTCTGGGAAAGCTGAAGTTGGTCTGCTTGCATCCCCAGACTTCTCATCTCCTAGTTCTGCCAAAGGAGAGTCACAGGACTTGGCAATAATGAGACACAACTTCATTACTGAATCCATCAAATGTTCTACCATCTGCCCATTCATGTGACCATCCAGTTGGTTGGCAACCATCTTGGTCAGCCCAGAAAAAATACCCCCAGACTCCTCGCCAGCACATACTTTGGTGGGAGAAGGGGTCATAGGTCTTTCATACTGGTTGCTATCTTCCTTAGCTTCTGGTACCTTGGATACAGAGCTACTGTCACTCTTGAAAATGGTCTCCCCAAGTAAATGCCGTATAAAATTGAAAAAAACACTCATTAAATCCTTCTTTTCTACTTCTGCTTGGCCGCATCCTACAAGATGAGGGAATTTAAGGCTGGACTCATCGGGGACTACAGGGGACTTGGTGTGAGGAAAATTGGTGCTGCCAGCAGCTTCCAGGAAGCTCTGTGCATCCATCATTCCTCCTTGAGCCAGATGGTACTGGATCAGAAGTAGGGCAGATACAATCAAGTCCTTGGCCCATGAATCTGAATCATACATAAAATTTTCAAATTTCTCTGGCTGTTGCATGGGGGCACTGTTACATGTCTCCTGGGTATACTCAACAGAAATGTCTGGTGTGGGCTTACACTCTTTGTTGGGAGCTGCAAAGGTTGCACGCTGGAAACCTGGAGATTTACATTCTTTCTGCTGACTATTATGCCACAATGTCAGTCCCTCTTTGATAATGTGCTCACCCAGAGTTTCAACACAAGACTTTTCTGGTTTGGGTTCAGGAGAGTACATTTTTTCCATGAATTTGGCTTCAGATTTCATTGTTGAAAAGTTTACATTTCGGCGTTTAGGGTCACCCATTCCTCCCATTGAGAGAAGGGAATAACTCTCAGCCTTGTCCTTGGACTTCCTGACATTCTCAGGAGCTTTCTTGGAAAACATCACAGTGTATAGCTTGCCCATCATGGCATCCATGATATCTGTGGCCTTCTGGCTTCCATGAGAGAAAAGACCTCTTTTCACAGCTGAGACAAAGTCTGTATCAGTCATGAGGGTCCCTGTGACATTATGGAGGTTCCGCATGAAGGAGTCAATGAGATCTGAGACCACCTCTTTTGCATGTTTGATTAGTACCTTCTTCAGCAGGATGGTGGCAATGGTTGTATCCTTTACTTGGATCCTCAGTGTCTTCATGATGGAGACCATCATATCAGACACCACACTGTTAGCATAGGTCATGATCCCCTGACTAACGGAAGTCGTAAAGTCGTCAGGCCTTTCTGACCCTCTGAACCTCTTTCTCTCCCCAGGTAAAGACCGCCCACCCTCTTTGGCATCACCTGCATTATGAGATTCAAACACTTCTTTATAGAAGAAAGACTTCTTAGAAGCTGGCTTATCATCTGGGTTCTTGCTATCCTTGGTGCTCTCCTTGATCTTCAAAGTGCTCTTGTATTTCACATTTGCAGGACTCCGTGATGATCCTAAAGCTCTGTCTCCAGAGCCAGGAGCCTTATCTGAAGCAGTATTATTGGAACATATAGTGACAGTCTCATTTACAAGTTCTGATGCCACCTTACTTAAGCTTTTGTTGGATGGGTGTTCATCACCCATGTACAATGACTGATGGATACATTTGTTTTCAGAGCTGTCAATCTTCTCATTGATCTCCTTACGAGCCATGGCGATGACTAGATTTGTGAGGCGGTTAGCATAGAAGGAAACTTCATCTACTGACCTCTTATTAGCAGTGGAGCCCTGGAGAGAAGCATCTTTATGAGTCACCTCAAAATGCATTTTCCCTGGACATCCCTGGTTGGTGGTATTGTAATAGTCCATAGAAAAACCCCTGTGTGAGTCTCCTGAGTTGGTCATTTCTCCGTCAACTGATGATTCTCCAGGCTTGAACTGAGCATCCTGGAACCCTGCTGCACTTCTTTCCAGGTCTCTGCGGAGCCAGCTGAGCACTCTGACAGGATCAGTAGGGACTTCCTTAAAAACAGACAAAGTAAAGACATGTAACATTCAAAACGACCTCAAAGAGCAATTATAAAAATTATCACCCTTCTTGACCTAAAGTACCTCATCATCATCATGAAATCACCAACATTTACCAACAGCTTGTCATGTAATAGACATTGTTCCGAGTGTTTTAAGACTACTACTCATTGGCAGTCCAGGTGTGGCACTGTGGGATAAGCACTGGACCACTCCTCAGAAATCCTATACAAGATTGCTCTGTGTTGGAACCGACTCAGTAGCACTAAACAACCACCACCACCACCACAACTCATTAGGTCATAAACACACAAATATATCCCATAAATATATGACTGTGAAAGAGGATATTGGTATGTGAGTATTTACCTTTCCTACTAATATTCTTTCGCCATACTTATTCAACCTGTATGCTGAGCAAATAATATGAGAAGCTGGGTTATATGAAGAAAAACGTGGCATCAGGATTGGAGGAAGACTCATTAACAACTTGCGATATGCTGATGATACAACCTTGCTTGCTGAAAGTGAAGAGGACTTGAAACATTTACTTATGAAGATCAAAGAGCACAGCCTTCCATATGGATTACATCTCAACGTCAAGAAAACAAAAATCCTTACCACTGGACCAATGAACAACATTCTTATCAATGGAGAAAAGATTGAAGCTGTCAAGGACTTCATTCTTCTTGGGTCAACTATCAACACTCGTGGAAGCAGCAGGCAAGAGATCAGACGACGTATTGCATTGGGCAAATCTGCTGCACAGGAACTTTTTAAAGTGTTGAAGAGCAGAGATGTCAGCTTGAGGACTAAGGTGCGCCTGACCCAGGCCATGGTGTTTTCAATAGCCTCATATGGATGCGAAAGCTGGACAGTGAATAAGGAAGATCGTAGAAGAATTCATGCCTTTGAGTTGTGGTGTTGGAGGAGAATATTGAAAGTGCCATGGACTGCCAAAAGAACCAATAGATCTGTTTTGGAAGAAGTGCAGCCAGAGTGCTCCTTGGAGGCCAGGATGGCTAAGCTTCGTCTCTCATACTTTGGAAATATTGTCCGGAGGAAACAGTTGCTGGAGAAGGATGTCATGCTGGGTAAGGTGGAGGGTCAGAGCAAAAGAGGAAGACCCCTAACGAAACGGATTGGCCAGGTGGCATCATTGATGGACTCAAGTGTGGCAGTGGTAGTGAGGTTGGCCCAGGATCGGACATTGTTTCGTTCTGCTTTGCATGGGGTCGCTATGAGTCGGTTACAACTCCATGGCACCTGACAACAACAACAACTAATACAACAATGAATGTGATGGAGCATAAAAGCAGGCGAAATGATGAAAACTTCTTAGATATTATTAAGCATTTTAAGGAAATGAGTTGGTGGGCTTGGGGGCTCAGGACCATAGTCTCAGGGGACACCATGGTCGATTGATATAACATCGTCCACAAAGACTATGTTCTACATCCTATTTTGGTGAGTAGCATCTGGGATCTTAAAAGCTCATGAACGGCCATTTAAAGTGCAGCTATTGGTCTCTCCAGGTGCAGAAGAAAGAAAAGTGATGAGAACTGAAGAGGCTCGGAGTCAATTAGTCCAATAGACTAATGGAAGATATGAACATCAGTCTCTAGGACTTTGAGACCAGAAGAACTAGATGGTGCCCAGTATATCATTTTTTTTTTACTTTTTATTCTGAATTGAGTGAAGGTTTACAGACTAGATCATCAGTTTTATGTTCAAGAAGCCATACGCTGTTTCATCTCAATGATTACAACTTCTTCCATGCAACAACAGCTCTCCCATTTCCTCCCTGTGGTTCCTATTTCCATTCCACCCATCTTCCTTTCTTAACTTTGTCCTTAAGTAAATGCTGCCCTTTTAATTTTGAATGAATGATCTTGCACAGTGAGCTTACCTCACCAGTGCACTTGTACCCTCCAAACACCTAGCGACTGCTTAGCTAAAACCACAAGGGTGGGTTCCTTTTCAGACCTGAAGGGTGGTCATTTATTGAATATAAAATGGATGATCTTGTCTGTAAATCTTCATTTAATTCACAATAAAAAGTTAAAAAAAAATCACTACTCACTATCCTCGTTTACGGAGTCCTAGAGTGGGGCTGTGGGTTAATGTGCCAGACTGCAAAGCTGTTTGAACTGCAAGGTTGGCAGTTCAAGCTCACCAGTCGCTCCTCGGAAACTCTATACAGGGTCGTTATAGGTTGGAACCGACTCAATGGCACTTAACAACAACAACAACAACATTCTCATTTCACAGTGGAGGAAATTGAAGAACAGAGAAGTTAGTTACTTTCTTGAGGCTATACATTTAATCACTGAAGGAACAGGGATTCCCACTGAGGCACTCTTACTCCAGAGCCCATACTTTTGAATACAACACTATTGTGTGTCCAGCAACTAAGCCCTTAAAATCTAACAGTTATCCGCTACATAGAAGAGCTAACATTTGAAATGAATCAGTAGATTTCTTTTGTATTGATATTGCTATTTTTTATGGGTCACCTGTTTTTGTTTAGATCTCTTATTATAAATATTGTTTTATGAAAATTAGAAAGTTGAAGGACAAGTGAGCATAGTTAACCTCCTGCCAGACTATATGATGAGCACAATCTTGATATATTAATAATTTCCAATGGACTATTTGACATCACTTTCATGAATAATCTGGTTTAGAACCAGAGTTAATGTTTATGTGCAATTTATTAATTTTGTGTTAATACTGATAGTTTGATGGATACTAGCAAGGATAAGTATATATACATATTTACATGTATATAGGTTGTAGTCTATAAATGGAAAAAAATCTCTTCCTTGAACATAGAATCAAATTGTATATGTAAAAGTGTCCCATTTGTTACTAAATGTAAACAAGTACTGTAATTACAGAAGTATGTCTACCTGGAAATGACCACAATTATTGTCCATCTTTTACCATGTGTCTGTCTTTAAAGTGCTCAACAGCAAAGACAGGAGTTTGAGGACTAAGGTGCGCTTGACCCAAACCATGGTATTTTCAACACCCTCACATGCATGTAAAAGTTGGACAATGAATAAGAAAGCTCATAGAATAATTGAAGCATTTAGGTTATAGTGTTGGAGAAGAATATTAAATGTACCATGTACCATCAGAAAAACAAACATATCTGCGTTGGAAGAAATACATCCAGAATGCTCCTTAGAAGCCAGGAGGGAGAGACTTTGTCTTTCATACTTTGTACCATGAGGGAGCAGTTCCTAGAGAAGGATATCATTCATGATAAAGTGGAGGGTCAGCAAAAACTAGGAAGAACTCCAATGAGATGGACTGATACAGTGGCAGCAGCAACAGGTTTAAATGTAACAACTGTGAGGCTGGAGCAATAGTGAACAGTGCTTCATTTTGTTGTGCATAGGGTTGCTATGAGTCAGAGCCCACTCGATGGTACTTAACAATGATATCGACACTTCCCATCTTTAAAGAATGATTTGGTATTTTATTACCATATGTCATGGTTACTGGGTTCAGTTCATGCTCGAAAGGTACCCAAGGGCCATTATCTCAGGGGTTCCACCAGTCTCTATCAGAACAATAAGCCTGTTCTTTTTAATGATTTTGAATTTCGTGTTACATTTTCCTCCCACTATGTCCAGGACCTTCTATTGTAATCCTAATCAGCATGGTTAATAGTGAGTGTGTGTGGTTGTATTTTCCAAAATGATGATCAGAAGATTGGCCTGGTATGGCTCATCTCAGTGGGCTGTTTGGGGAATAAGGGAGTTCTTCTAACTTCTTAATACCTTCCTTGTTTACTCTTCCTCATCATTTGTTATTTCTGGAATAATTAAAATACTCTTTTATTGGTTAATTACCTTTTACCATTAAACAACTTTTCTTATATTAAAGTGATGGTGGGCTTTTCATCTTCTGACTGGATTCTGACTAATACAGTTGCTGGTGTTTATTGAATAAAGAAAACAAAAGCAATGCTACTTAGGTAAGAGTTTATTTTCTGAGGATTTTAAGGCATCTTACATTTCAGGAAATATTTTCTAAGAACCTTGGAAGCATTTATTTCTAATCCATATCTGTTTGAAAATTAAAATTATTATTTTACTGTAAAAATAAAAAGTATTATAATTTTTATTAGCTATGCAAGGAGCTCTGGTAGCGTAGTGGTTACGAATCGGGCTGCGAACCTTAAGGTCAGTGGTTCGAAACTACAAGCCGCTCCGCGGGAGAAAGATGAGGCTTTCTACTCCCGTAAGGATTTACACCCTCGGAAACCCTGTACAGGGTCGCTATGGGTCGGACCCGACTCGAAGGCGCTTAACAACAACAACAACATGCATATGTCACCTACTAAGTCTATATGACAGGATTTTTTAAAAAACTGTTCTATTGTGAATTATGTGATAGTGTACATGGGAGAACATTAGCTTTACATTCATCCTATCATCTATCGTTACATTGCCATGGTTACAATCCCTTCAATGCATCATCAACCAACCAAAGGGTACACCCTGCAAGCCTGCCCCCTGGTCATCAGCACACAGTCCCTCTTCCTCTCTGGGTCTAGAGTCCCCAGCCACACCATCTCTCCATGTCATCATCTCTGCCTCCATATCTCTGGTGTCACTGTTTCTCTGGGTAGGATCCCGCACTCCGTCCTTCTCCCTTGATGGTCCCAGGGGCCTCCACACCTGACCTGCAAAGTCAACCACTCCCCTCTTTTTGCTACAAAATGTCTACCTTTACATTTCCGATCTTCACAGTCAGTCCTGATAGTAATTATTCATTATTGTACCACATGAGTGCTATCCTCATCTCCTTTCATCAGTCCTGCCAGACAGATTGGATACTACTCAGTGGAGATTCTGCCTTCCTCCGTGCCCTCTGGATCTAGGCTCCCTCTTGAAAGCTTGTAAGCCAGTCACTTCCTGCCTTTGTAGCCCCTATCCACCATTTTGGGTAGCCAATGTCCAAGTTGCCCATCCCTGTCTACCCTGTTTATTGAGGGGCTTGGGAATGATGCTCGCTGTAAAGATTTGTCCCCTCTTTTGAGCTACTGCATCCATAAGTGTAGGTCAAGTTCATCAGATTGTATCAGATTACTCTTTTTTTCCTCGTCTTTCTTCTTCTAGTTGAGCTCTGATCATCCAGCCATTGAAGCCAGGTCAAGTGGGTAATATCTGCAAGTGTGGGTGTTCTTGTACATATGCCCTCTATTCTTATCAGATGGATGCTTCATTCTCCACTCTAGTTCTCTGTGGCTATGCTACTGACTCTGGGTCCAAGAGTCCCCAGGTCTTGCCATACTGCTGGCCAACCAGGTCTCCACCCAGGTTCACAGGAGTCTATTGAATGTGGTTGGACTTAGCTTGCAGCTTCATTTCTGGTTTCCCTCACTTCTCCTTATCGGTGACCAATGTGGTTACCAGTAAGAGCACATGTCTGCTCATGTATTCCTATTGAGTCTTAGTCCTAGAAGGGGGTTTACCCTTAAGGAATCCAGCTGCTTGCTTTGATGTCTCCTGGGCGAGCAACTTGCTTGTCCTTGGAGTAGTCAGTTGGCCTGCCTATATTGTTTTGTATTTTTCTTGTTGGTCTTTCTTTCAAGAAGTATCTTCTGTTCTTCTAGCTGCTCCAGGCAGGTCTGCTTGTCCTTTCAAGTGGAAATTTCCCACCTCAGAAGATTGTGGATGGGGTTCAAGATTCCACCTATGGTCTTATGTAATGCAGAGGCTCCGCAGGAAGCCTCCTTCACTCTGCATGTTGTAGCCCCATTTTAGGTATTCCAGTTGGTTAGCAGTTCGAAATTACCAGTGGTTCCGTGGGAGAAAGTTGGGGCTTTCAAGATTACTCCCTCAGAAACTCTATAAGTTAGAACTAACTCCACAGCATGTAACCACTGCCACCATAGTTCATTGTGGGGAGCGTGGTGGCTCCATATAATAAATACTGGGCTGTGAACCACAATTTGGAGTCCTGGTGTGGTACTGTGGGTTAATGTGCCAGAAAGCAAAGCCATTTGAACTGCAGGGTTGATAGTTCAAGCTCACCAGCCGCACCTTGGAAACCCTACACAGGGTCGCTATGGGTCGGAACTGACTCGACGGCACTTAACAAGAACAACAACATTCAGTTTTAGGCAGAAGTTGGACTTACAAGCTTTCTTTGATGAAGTTTCTGGCTATTCTTTTCTCTTCCCCTCAAGTGTCTATTTTATAATGGTATGCAAGGGAAACTAAGATTCAAAAGACAACCAAGCATCTTAACATTCTTTCCCCCCTTTTGCCCATTCCAACCATGTCTTAATCCCTGTATCCCAGAGCCCTGTTGTTCCTAGGTTGTGCATACATCATTATTTACCTCTGTCCCACTTAGTCCATGCAAA